CTGAAGCAACCTATAATGCATCCATCAGCATATTTTTTGTTGTTGTAAATCAGTTTGTATCCTCCGAAATCAGAGACAATGCAAATATATTCACAGGCAACCACTGGCGCTTTTCGGTGTGGGTGTAGGGGTGTAAAAAGACATTGTATTCCAACACCCCATAGAAACACCTTAAACATGTAAACAGAATGGACAGTAACAATAAATAATGTTCATACCAATAACAGTAACAGAAAATTAACAATGATAATGAAAGCGATGATGGCTATAACGAAAACAATGAAGAAATATACGTGTAATTTAAAAAAAAAATAACCATTTTCACTTCCAAAACTTCCCGATTAGCCTCAGTAGGTATTCACTGGTCTATTCCCGACCGCATATTCAGCAACTCGTCTCAGTTGTGTCACTGAAGGCCTCTTTCCTTAGTCTAAAAGGTTGCAATAGGTGTTCAAGACAATAATTTCTGTTTTTATATCTCTGCCACACACAACGCAGTACCGATGTTATTAGCACTTGGCGACCGAACTTTCATTGCCATATACAATTTTTTTTCTTCAATAATTTACGTTTCAATAATGTTTCCACTTTCGTTAGTCTCGTGAGCGTTCATATATGTCAATTTGCGGTCATATTTGTCCTTCGATCTAGCCTTCAGAGTAATGAGATACATTTCGCATTTAAATAAATCTTATGTACTTTTTGTCATCCTGCGAGAGTGGAAAGTAGAAAAAATTCGCTTTTATCGATTTACCTAACTAGATGCAATAATGAATAAAGCACGCAATGGATGTAATTTTTAAAAGAAAAGAAAAAACAAATCAACCACCATATACATATATGTTTGTGTATACACACAAATACATTTACACTGGAGCGTGTGTGTGTGAAGGCGTGCGCCTGTCCTTCTGTGGAAGAGCTACAGTGTAGTCCTTGATTCTGTGCGTGTGTGCCTGTGCTCGCGCGTGTGCGTGAGGGGGGGTAGCATGTGCCCGTGTTTGTGAGTACGTGCGTACGCGCACGTGCGCCTGCGTGTGTGTGTGTGTGTGTGTGTGTGTGTGTGTGTGTGTGTGTGTGTGGTGTGTGTGTGTTGTGTGTGTGTGTGTGTGTGTGTGTGTGTGTGTGTGTTCCGTGCGAGCGCGTGCGAGTGTGAGCGTACTTCCCTCAACTTTGAACGAGCAAAGATCCCTCCCCCCCCTCCTTCTCCGCCTCCCGCCGCCCCCTCCCCGCGATCGCCGATACCACCACCGCGCGCGGATCAATACCTCCCCATGACCGGGCCGGCGTCTTGTGCTCTCGCGGGAGGCCTAGACAGCTGCCGCCACCTGCTGAGTCCTTCGGCAACCATTCCTCGACTCATCCCTCCGAGACCGCTCCTCCCTCCCTGCCCCCACGCCTACGTCCCTGCTCCCTTGGATCACCCTGCCAACCTTCCCTTCCCACCCTCGGTCATTCCTCCCTCGCCCGCTCCCTCATACCGCGGTACCTCCCTCCCCTACTCCCTCACACCGCCATGCCTGCCTCCCCCCCTCCTTCCCTCGCTTCCTCACACCGCCATGCCTGCCTGCCTCCCTCCTTCCCTCGCTCCCTCAAACCGCCATTGCCTCCCTTTGCTTTCCCGCCCTCCCTGCCTTTTCTTCCTTCCTCTCCCCTTATCCCCGTCCTCTCTACCTCTCCGCCCCTTTGTTATGAGCGTCCCTCACCGCGAACAGGGGTCCCTCTCTCCCCCTAACAATCAAATGCTAATGCGCTCGTCCTCCCCAACACGTCCCTCCTCATAAACACTTTTGCCCCCCCCCCCCCCCGAGTTCTCCCCTCTCACCGCTCCCTTCTCCTTTCTTTGACACTCTCTTCTGCTTCTACATCTCTCTCTTCTCCGCGAGTTGCGGATTGCGCTTGTCGAAAGCCTTCGTTGAACCTGTTATCTGGTCATCGTGTCTGTATGTTAGGCTGACTCTTTACATTCGTTGCTCTCTCTCTCTCTCTCTCTCTCTCTCTTCTCTCTCTCTCTCTCTCTCTCTCTCTCTCTCTCTCTCTCTCTCTCTCTCTCTCTCTCTCTCTCTGAGTCTTGTGTGTGTGCGTGTGCGAGCTTGCGCGTTTGCGTGCGTGCTTATAGTCTGCGTGTTTACATGGGTATATTTTATGATCCTATGCACAAGCCTGATCAAATATTCAAAAATAAACTTTACCGTGTCTCTGTGCTCAAGTCTAAGCGCGCCCGTACCTGTTTTGTCTGTGCAAAAGTTTCGGGTCGCGTTCGAAACTCAGACGCTTCGCTAGCAGCCACCAAAAGGCTTCATTCAATACAATTTTACTCTTTTGGTTATCTGTCCTCGGCTTCAGTAGCTCTGCATATCTTTCAAAGATTAGTGCGACATAGTAGAGTCAGGCGAGGATAGCTGTGAATATTTTCAGATGATAATTTTTCTACAGCGTTTGAAAAAAAATACGTACGCCTGATAATTGTGCCTATATTCATTAATAAGTGAAATATAGAGAGCGAGAGAGAGAGAGAGAGAGAGAGAGAGAGAGAGAGAGAGAGAGAGAGAGAGAGAGAGAGAGAGAGAGAGAGAGAGAGAGAGAGAGAGAGAGAGAGAGAGAGAGAGAAATATCAGAGCTCGTTCACGCAATCAGAGCGTCTCATACGCCGTCATGGGTCTCGTAGTATAATGACTTTCACGGCAAGTTGGGGTCAAACCTGTCTACACACGAGACGACAAATACTTTAGATCTCGAAAAACAGGTGAGTTGGGCCTAATCTCTCAGATCAGGTGAATGAGATCTCTTAATATTCTATGCAAACGGATTTATTGTAGTAACAGACAGATACCCATTTTCATTCATTTCCTCTACTTCCTTCACACGCAAGGACAACAAAAAATAACAGACATGTACCTAGGCGGGCTGTTGCGATTTTTTTTAGTGGTGTGTCATATAATAACTTCGTGTTCTTGAAATTTAGCGTCTTGTCTTCTGACATAAAATCACAGACGGAACCTTGCATATATTCTTTATGGTAAAACGCGGAATTCAATAGCTGTATTAGTTATCGTTAGATGAAGAATATAATAACGAAACTGTTCCGATAGTGCAATATAAAAACATCTGTTACATTGGTATGACTCTTCTTATTGTTTCATCCCACATGCTTTATCAGCTTGACAACTTATCTCTTGCTATCTGGGAAAGATTATCCGTCTCGCTCGTTGAAAGTAGCTGTAACCCGTTCTTAACTTCACCTTTGTTTAACATGTGCATTTAACTTCACGATCTATTTCCTAAGTCTTACGTCCTATACAAATGCAAAGCTGGATAACCACTGAGTGATCCTGAAAAAAGTTCGTTAAACTTTCTTCTTTTCTTTTTAGTTTTTCCCTTGCGCTACAAACATGATGGCTAACACGTGGTTTGCAAAGTCCGCCCTGAATTCGCGTGCTGGTTGTAACACAGGTCATATATGTTTACAGTTTTCACACGGTATTTTGTGTCTTTATTGTAACCCGATCTTCGGCTCGTGGTTCACGACAGGCAACCGTGTCTTAGGCATAAAAATGTTAAATCAGATGTTCGAGAGAGAGAGAGAGAGATGAGCCATCGTTTGCTTATGACCAATCAGTATCTTGACACTGTTGCTAAGTCACTGTGGATATATTTATCGTTACGTCACTGCCCGCGGTGTAAATTTAGAACAGAATATAATGAAATCAAAGCACACCTTGACATCCATCGAAACTATCCTTATATTCCCACAAAAGACATTTCGGCGTCAACGTTTCCCAAAAGCCTCCATTATCCCCATGAAATCAAATTTGTCGGAAACGCAGGCGACCGCAAGTGAAGGTGGAACGTTCTTTCATATCAGGCGCACACGAACACAAAAAGATCTCTCGTCACTTGGAGCTTCTTACTGGGACCTCGGACTCCCTTCCCCCTACCCACCACACCCCACTCCTACCCCAACCCCTTACCCCCAAGACACACGCAACTCCATTTCAAGGATCAGCGCAACACCCGCGCAAGCTTCAACGAGATAATTAATTCGATCCGGTCACAACTGTCTTACATCTGGCTACTGTCCATGCTGCTCCTTCTACCCTAAAAAGAACGTCATGCTATTTTCGCTTAACGCGTATGATAATTCTACTTACGGATTATGCTAAATGAGCAAAAAAGAAAAAGAAAAAGAAAAAAAGGCACTGCATCTGAAAAGTTATCGTCAAATCGTACATAAATTGCTTACTCATCCATCTTTTTTTCTCTCGCGCTGACAACTCCAGCTTGGTTACAGTCCGAATTTCTAGATAGGGCTATGGTTGTAATATCTACGAATTCAAAATAGGACGCAGATTAAAGAAATCTAGGTGTTATAATGTAAGTTAACACAGGAAGCAGTTCTGGGTAAGGGATAGGAGCGAGTGAGCGTGTAGGAGCGGGCGAGAGGACAGGAGGAGGAGGAGGAAGAGGAGGAGAAGAACCTCCTCTCTCTGTCTCTTCCAACAGTTTTCCGTTCGTGTTCACAATCCTCTGTCCGTTCGCCACACTCCTTAACACACTCTTTCAGTCCCTTCAAAACCTCTTTAGGTCGCATATTTATAGTCCTTTCGGATGGCATATACACACAGAAAGCCATTCCAGGAAAAAAAGTAAACTGGTAGCCTACAGAGGAAGGAAATTGCCGAAAAGTCCCTAACGATATGTAGCCGCTGTTGAGTTTTAACGGTGTAAAATCTCACCAAACCTGCCAGTTCAGTGGGTGTACAGCAGGCACCGGTTTAACCTTCTGCACAGACAAGCCTCATCCTTGCATCGAGACTTTTTAAAAATGATACTTTTTTGGCCAAAGTTCTCTCTATGGATGTAGATTAAAAAGGATATTACATGTTACGAAAAAAAAAATCGAAAAATCCAGGGAGGACTTGTTCACTTTTTTTTTCTCTTAACATGGGAAGAATATGAACCACTTATTCAACACAGCTGTCTCTACTTATAATAGTAATATACGTTTCACATAAAGAGTGGCATTTGAACTTCCCCAAGCTTCATAAACACGACAATGCAGTCTTTCGCAACGATCTAAAAATAGGACATTATCTAAACCATATAGGAAAATCACCTTGGATATTCCAGAGCAAAATTTCTTGTCTTTATTTCCTTCAAGAACCTCTCACACCGATCTAAAACAAATCAAATATTCACAAAAAATGTAGTGGGACATTCAAGAATCTTCGGTACATTGATCATTTTCTGAGGAAAAGAAAAAAAAGAAAGAAAAGAAAGGCCAGCGAGACATCGATCGCTCACACAACCGACTCTATAATAACCGACATAGTCCCCCTAAAATTTACGTCAAATTCTTTAAATTCCCTGCTCTATATGGCTCTACACGAAAATTAACCCCATCTCCTCTGCCCTTCAGACTTCATCAATCGAGCAAATCAACGAAGAATAAAATTTGGCGGGAATGTCTGCGTTGCCGTGGCGGGAAATTCGGTTTTGAAGCTCGTCTCCTGACAGGATTGATCAGGCCGAATTTCTCGCCATTTTGAGCCGCGGCTCCGGCATTCAAAATTACTATTCGCCCTGTTATCCTCCGAAATAAGAGTACAGACGAACGGAATATCATCTTTTAGCTTCGAACCTGACTTGAGTGAGCGAAAAGTGGCCTATCAACCCGCCACGAGACAAAACGCGAATTGAGAAAGGAAGCCTGCTCAGCCGTATTTGGCGAGACTCCCGCTTCGTTAAGCCTCTTCAGGGATACGAAGGGGGGACGAATAAAAATTATTTTCTCACTCACCTCTGCAGGGGTGCTGACGTTATTCTCCGCGGGCGCAACGGCGGCGTCGTCCGACATGTTGGTGAAGGTTTGGTTGCTTAACTGTCAGAAACGGGCGCGGAGGAGAATTTTGAAGTGTGTCTGGCGGGGGTCTGGCCAGCCGAGTGCAGCGTGGGCGCCGGTCACGTGACACCGCTGCCGTTCCCTGCACCTCGCCCCCGCCCACCCTCGTCACCTCTACTAACCTCTTCCACGGCCATATAACACTTGCTTTCTTCCCTTTTCTCTAATGGGCGCATGCCGATGCTTATTTGCGAGTTTCTTGAACACTCGGGAGGGATAGCAAGCCCCAGACGTGTCCGAGGAACGACAAAATAATTATTTTGGGAGGTTTGTTTATTCTAATGAATGCCCATATATACTTCTTTTAACGCCTTAAGTCCAGAATGTTCATAACAGTCTGTAAAATGTCATTTGCTCGAGACAAGGTTTGCGTATTCGACGTCGACGATCGATACTGGCATTCCACGCCAAGTGAACGGCAATTCTGACCTTGTAGCATGACCTTGCCTACCTAATCGTGATATATCATTGGTTTTAAATCAAAAAAAAATCTCCTTCCACGACTGGGGTAAAATGCACACCCATATTTATTCACGAAAAATCCTCAGATATCGGCGTCGAGAGACATTAAATACGACCCAACGAAATATGTCTCCGAAAGGCAGTCCTTGAGCGGCGAGCAGACAGATGTGTAGTGTTGGCTCGACACGAAATTACTATCAACGCGGTAGGATAACTGCTGACTGAGGACGACAGTATTTAATGTCATACAGAGTGAAATGCTGGCTATATATGTATGTATGTATGTATGTGTGTGTATATGTATATATATATATATATATATATATATATATATATATATATATATATTAATCTCTCTCTCTCTCTCTCTGTCTCTCTCTCTCTCTCTCTCTCTCTCTCTCTCTCTCTCTCTCTCTCTCTCTCTCTCTCTCTCTCTCCTCTCTCTCTCTCTCTCTCTCTCTCTCTCTCTCTCTCTCTCTCTCTCTCCTCGCGCTTACGACGGTCCAGATTTTAAGAAATTTACTCGTGGAATTCGGCAGTGAACAACTTCTTACTCTGGTTACTGGACCCTATGCGTGTTTTTGTTTTCTGAAATTAATATCCACAGTTATTTCGACAACCTCATCGTCTCACCCCGTGTGCTTATCCTAGGAATAATGTTATAGGCCTATAAGGTTCCTTCCATGTCGCAAGAGAAGAGAATGAAACGCAAATCATACACCAAGCTTGCTGGTAAACGAGCATCGACCATCCGATCAGCATTAACGGTAGACACAGTGTTGGTTAACGCTGGCTAACCCACTCTCCGATATAGTGAACTCCGCTATAGTTAACTGACGTACACCACTTATTTGCTTGTCTCTACAGCGTCCTTTTCATTCATGGCTTGAATACTGTGGAGATATAGGAGACTCCTGTCAGTCCAGTACACAAGGAGGACTCGATGTGTCGGTATAGCCTTATTATAGACCCCGTTCATATGGACCAGGACACGCGCTGGGTTCGACGAGTCGGCATTTGCACAAAACTTCATTGAGTAACTGCCGGATGCCCTCTCGCATTCCGTCGAAGTTTCTTAAATGATGTCATCGTGGATACTCTGAGTCTTAGCCTCACTGTCGAGAATAAGTCAAATCGAATCCAGGTGTGTCTGGCGGCGATAAATGAACCAATTCCGCGCCTGACGATAAGAGCTCGAGTGACCCACCCACATCATTCTGAGTTCCCCCTCCCCCCTTCCATCCCCCTCCCCGCCTCGGTGCCCCGCAGCAATTTCATGTTTATTCATATTCCCCAACGCAATAGATCGTTTTTTTTTTTTTTTTGCGGGGAAACGCGATAGAACTTGACTGTTTCCTCTCTAGTGGACGGAGATATAGAGAATAGCCTCCTTGTGTCCGAGAAAAGCGCCAAAGTTCGCCACGCTTGTCCAGTGGAAGCGCGCGAGAGAGAAAAGCCAGTGTGGAGTAGCTTCGTCGGTCAGTGTTCCCATGGTCCACTACAGAGAGGTCAGGCGCGCTCTTGCCATACGACTTACATTGTAACTTTTGTCTCAGGAATGCAGACGGACGGGTACATTTTGATGGTCTGCGCAGGGGAGAGGATTGCGCTGCGAACCCCGAGTCGATTACCTGTATACTAGGAGAAATGTGTCTTCACCATCTGAAATTCTCGTGCAGTGTAGCGAAGTGGGAACGACCGCCGCTCGCTACATTCATTTTTTAGCATTCTGTCTTGCTGTCCACAACCAAACCTTATTTCTCATTTTCACGCCATATATCGAACGCGTTTTTCACAGCAGTTGACAATCGCGCAATCAATAAAAAAAATATCATTTTTAAGAGTAACGAAATCAAAGCGATTTAATTATCTAGCGCAAAGTGTCCGGTGTAATAATGTATGGCAACACAGCTCGGTACTGGCGGGAAGAGGCTATGCCACGTCCCTGTTCCTGGCTACTCGCGCCTGTCCCTCACTCACCAGCCCTTTCCTCTCCGCAAAAAAAGGGAGGGTGATCCGTGCTTTGGATATAAGACTCCTATTCATTTTTTCACCGTTTACTTCTAAATTATGTTAGCCATTCTCTTCGCTCGTTTTTAGTTCCATTGAAGTCATTTCGCTTCTCCAGTTATGCTGACTCACATACACAGATGCACCGACTCATACACACGTGTATGCATACACGTTTATAATCATGATTAAAATTTGCCATCATTCATACCTCTTCCCCCTTCAAATGCATTGTGCGAACAAGGTTAAAACGCGACAACTGCTAAATCGCGAATAAATCGATACCATAGCATCGACAGACCCCTTCTAACCCGTCCTCCCTCCCTCCCCCCCTAGCATCCCCACTACGACCACTCATACTACTACTACTATTTACTACGGCAACCCCACAGACCCGTGGAGACGCCGCGCTGAGCTCCGAGTTGCCACGGTGCCGAGGCTCGCGCTGAAACACGAACGAGATCGAGGTGAATGATAACGAAGAGAAAAAAAGTTGACTGATAAGAAGAGGAAGTACAAGCACATCCCCACCATCAGCTATTCCTTGTTCGCTTATTCGCTGTGCATTAAGTTCTCGTGAGGTCTTTTGGGGGGTTTGGCAACAGTGTGGAGGTCTGAGTGAGCTCAGCTGCGGGGAGTTGAGAGTGAGAGAGAGAGAGAGAGTGAGAGACAGAGGACGAGAGAGAGAGAGAGAGAGAGAGAGCAGAGAGAAGAGAGGAGGGAGGAGGGAGAGAGAGAAGGAGGAGGAGGGGAGAAGAGAGAGAGAGAGAGAGAGAGAGAGAGAGAGAGAGAGAGAGAGAGAGAGAGAAGAGAGAGGGAGGGAGGAGGGAGAGAGAGATGAGAGGAGAGAGAGAGAGAGAGAGAGAGGAGAGAGAGAGAGAGAGAGAGAGAGAGAGAGAGAGAGAGAGAGAGGAGAGGAGAGGAGGAGAGGGAGAGAAGAGAGAGAGAGAGAGAGAGGAGAGAGAGGGAAGAGAGGAGAGAGAGAGGGAGGAGAAGATGAAGAGAGAGAGAAGAGAGAGGAGAGGAGAGAGAGAGAGAGGAGAGGAGAGAGCAAGAGAGAGAGAGAGAGAGAGAGAGAGAGAGAGAGAGAGAGAGAGAGAGAGAGAGAGAGAGAGAGAGAGAGGGAGAGAGAGAAGAGAGAGAGAGAGAGAGAGAGAGAGAGAGAGAGAGAGGGAGAGAGAGGAGAGAGGGGAGAGAGGAGGGAGAGAGAGCGAGGAGAGAGAGAGAGAGAGAGAGAGAGAGAGAGAAAGAAGAAGAGAGAGAGAGAGAGAGGAGAGAGACGAGAGAGAGAGACATAAGAAGGACAGAAGAAGGGGGGTGTGGGGACGGTGGTGGGGGGATAGAGAGAGGCCGGGGGGGAGGGGGAGATTTCGACAAAGCGAGCGAGGCGAGAGAGAAGAGAGAAGAGAGGAAGAGGAAGGGAGGAGAAGAGAGGAGATGAGAGAGAGAGAGAGAGAGGGAGAGAGAGGCAAGGAGAGATGAGAGAGAGAGGGGGGGAGAGAGAGAAGAGAGGGGATGAGGCGAGAAAGAAGAGGAGGAGGAGAGATGAGAGGAGAGAGAGAGGAGAGAGAGAAGAGAAGGAGAGAGAGAGGAGAGAGGGGGGGGGGGGGGAGAGACGAGATGAGAGAG